ACCTCCTCGGGTTCATCATGCACAGCACAGCGCAAACGCAAGGAACAGCCCAAGCACATCCATACAATCTTCCACCGACCGATCAACTATGCTCTAATTTTTGAACAGCCATGGAACACCAAACTTATATATATATATACAAAGCTGCGCTGTCTCAAGATCTCCAACTGGTGATTGGTCACCAACTGCCAGCGCCATCAGACTTAGCCCCCATCCATCCTCGGTTTCATCATGCAAATCATCCAACAAGCAATCCCAAGCATGAAGCAACATCAAGCAAATACCACTGTCTATCAATCTGGCAGTTTGTCAAACTTCAGGACTGGACAGGCCTGTTGCAAACAACTCTTTCAGCCAAAACATGCAACAACGTAAGGAGAAAGGACTGCATTGCCTGCATGGTTTTAAGGCATCGAGTATCAAGCTAGACCAACGACGACGGAACCAGCTCTACAAAATGGGACTGATTCCAATGCAATCTACAACTTTAAAACGTATTTCAACTTTCATGCCCACCTTCGACTGCCAACCCCGAACGCAAATGGACCAGGGAGGAATCAAGAAAGGGGGTCCCTCCGTCCCTCCCCCCACATCTAAAGTCGAACCTAACAGCCCCGATTCAGGCGGCAAAGATCGGCAAAGACTTATACCACACCTAACCTAAATAATGTTGCTAAAGCAAGGGAAACTCAGGCAGCTGGAGCTACCGTTCGTGACACTAAATGATGTGTGAGGCCAAGATTGGCGTGAAACAGTGAAAACCTGCCAAACTTTGCCTTCATAATAATCTTGTGAGAGCCAGTGCCAAGGATTCATTCCTGCTGTCCAAGCAGCTCATGTATAGGAAGCCCATCAGAAGGCTCGCCTTAGAATGATACAAGCTCCTAAAGCAACGCCATTGACCCTCCAATCAGAACACACCAACGAACATCGACATAGAAGTCAATCAAACAGTCAGCTTGTCAGGCAGTGACGGGGCTGTCCAGGTGCAAGGTAGGGCGGTCTTGGGATGTCTTCCGGAACCTGCATCAGACTCAGCTGCGACATGTCCTTCCAGCTGGGCTATATCAATCGAGCGCAAAGAATGGAGAATTGTATAATATTCCAGTTTCTGACCAACTTGAAAACAATATATAATATACAGCACTGAAGCACTGCCATTTGCCACGCCAGGGCAATTCGTGCCTGTCTCACTGGACTCACGTCGCCTCGAAGCACTGGGCGCCTCAAACAATGTGAACAGGGTGGCCAACGGCAACACCCCGACCCTTCCATCCAGAGGCATTCCTAGATGGCCTCCAACCTAATAGCGACGGCCTCCAACCTAATAGCGACGGCCTCCAACCTAATAGCGACGGCCTCCAACCTAATAGCGACGGCCTGAAACCTTGTCACAGAAAGTCCTTCCTCTGTCTCCTCTCGTTTGCACATGATTGCCTGTCCTTGCAAGAACGTAATTCTCGAGAAGTTCTAGCTTTGTCCAGCTTTCTGTCGTCCTCCATTCGTTCTATTGGCTAGGCCAGGACACAAAATTGGAACATTGAACATGCAAACGATCAATTACTCGTATCACCAATACACGTCAAGTTATCGAGGTGACGGTGAAGCACCTAGACAACGTGCGGGTCTACATCGAAAACACCCTACCGCCCGTTGCCTCCGGGCAGCAGCCATGGCCACCTTGGGTGACAGAAACACCAATAGACTAACCTTGGAGGAAATAGAATGTGCTGGTAGCACAATACAAAGTGGCACGTTCAGCAACACCAACTTTTGGAGTCTTCTTATGGTCGCACAACACAGCGGTGTCTCCTTTTGATTCTTTTTGTAGGTTTATATAGTTCTCAACTTCAATTCGTGATGGGTCATAGACAGTCATGGATCGTCTCTCACGCTAGCAGCTCATCAGCCTCTTTTTACCTCATGAAGCAACAATGGTAAGAGGCCTTCTTGGCTTTGCAGGGCAACAAGGCGAGGCCAAGTGGCAACAAGTGTCGCATTGGATCGAACATAAATTGATTGTAGCGTTGTTGTTTGCAGCCCTGATAGGGACCCATCGGCTCATACAACGAAGGGCTCCGTCACAACACAGTTTTTTTCATGTTTGTTTTTGTTTCACTGTTGTCATGAGCATTATTAACACAATGACAAGGCATGTTAGCTTGTTGGAGTCACGAGTCCGTAGACCTCACTATGCCAGACGTTGCGATTGCGGGTTCGATTTCACTTGACCGCTATCGTCACTTGCGCGCCCTGTGGAACACCATCAACATTGCAGGGCCATTGCGCATCCTGGCGTGGGCAAACTACAGAGACCTCAAAAACCAGAACTACAGAGACCATCAGAGACCTATGTGGACGATCGCTGCAAAGTGTGTGCCTGAATATGCGGCAATCGCACTGCGTAGAGCAACTCGCCCTAACAATTTTCACAATGCAGCAATTGTGATGATGATTTTCAGAATTTTCAGGCACCATCACAGTGATGTTCATGATGAATTTCAGATGATATTGAAGCAAGCTTTCAAGCTTGAATAACTCACCTGGCTTACCCTACCATTAACGACAACGACTCATGAACACACGTGTTCACATCAATGGCTCCTTACATAATTCATGATTCCCACATTTGACATACACTTCCTGCTCATGTTTTTCCAAACATTTCTTGCATGAACGACATGGCCATTCCAAATTAATTAATTTACGGCATGTCATGTCGTGAGACAGAAATCAAACTCATTCATACGCGGTGTGATTCCACAACTCTATGGTCCATCCCCAAAGGCCTAGTCTCGTGTGACATGAAACAGGACATGCTCTGTTCAGAAACGGAAGTCTCTGCTCATGTCTTGCCGAAAAAGCAGGATGGGCGCTTCATCCAGCTCCAATTCATTCGGCAGCGGAGAAGGCTGTGGCCCTGGGAAAAAATAACCAGCGAGGGTTCTTCCAGACTTTGGTGGCATTGACGCTATGGAAGGGGTTCCGAGAAACCCAAGGACGTTTTCAGCTCCACCTGGCTCCCCATCCAAAGCTTAGTTCAGCCACATACTCACTGGCTCCTAGTGCGCTTACCACTTCCAAACGAGTTCTTACAAGTCAACGCATCCGTATACATGCGCTGACAATAAGGATCTTTTGGAAGTGGTAAAGTTGTTCAAGGCACTGCCTGTTGTTCCCATTGGAGCTCACCCGGAAGAAGGCTTCCAAACGAACGTACGTTGTACGTCAAACCCTGTGGTTCTCCTCTTCTCTGTGTATGAACGGTGCCATTTCACACTGTGTTCAGCATCGAAGCGTTTCTGCTAAATGAACAAAAGAGAAGTCGTTGTATGATGATGTGTAACAGTGTAGTTATATACTGAGTATATATGTGCACAGTATAAAATGTGCAGTAATGTAGAGTATAAATATCAAAAGCCTTCAAAAGCTCTAAGTCAGGTTCGGGTATCGCAGTGAGTGAGAACAAAAGACTTGCAGTGAAAGAGGATGACAAGGGAATGATAAGGGCACAAGTACTTGAGAAATACATTAATACATGGAGTGTTCTCTTTCGGATGATCTCCACTCCTACAAAAGTCAGTCCGACCATTGTTTGGCCAAACCGCAAGCAGCTACAGACGGCAAAGCATCATTGGGCTGTGCGCGTACCTCGAAAAAGCTAGGCCCGATTCAGCCCGATTCCGATCGAAACACTGTTCTCCACAGTGGCAAGACGACACGTCCCAGCTGCTGCAAGACGACCGGCCACAACTGCTTTCCAAAGAAGGCCGGATAAGTTTCAGGCTGTCTAAGTCTATGTGTACTCTTGTCTCAGTAGTCTCAACAGGCCAGATTGTCATCTCTCATCCATTGAACAAAAAACTATCACTAAAGTCACAAGGTTGCAAAACGTCTCGGCCTTCAGCATCCTCTAACGGTCTCTAAGTGCATACACTTGGCTCTGCAGCTACAGGATTGACGACTTACATTGAAAGGTTGTTGTATGTACATGTTTGTACTACATTGTACTATCCTACCTTGTCAGGGCCGCTTGCTGCTCGAAATCTTGGTGTGGCAGCCGAAGTCTTCAACTCACTTCTCCTCTATCACTGGATCCGCGAGTCTCGAAAGACCAAGAAAGTTTGTTTGGCACAAAAATATAATTAGTATATAATACTACATTGCATTGTATAATACTACATGAAACTATGGCATGACCCTGTGCTCTCCGGATGACTTCTACATGCTGTCCTTCAATCACCATATCATTAATGGAAGTCAAGGAGCCTTGGACAAAACCAATTAAAATATCTACACCCTATGCGAAGTGATGCGAGGGCATAGGAAACATATCTGTTTTGTGGTAAAGGGGCTGATTTGCCCCTGTTGACATTATTGTTGCATCTTTCTGCCGAATACGTCGTGCAAACGTGACAAATACCAAATGTCGTTGTGAGAAACAAGAAGATCTTGAAAAACAAGAAACTCCACCCTAGTAGCGATGTAGCGATCCCCTCCAACCTAGTAGCGAAGGGCATGTGTCCCTTCGATTCCCCTTAATTTGATCAGTGATCAGTGATTCGTTCACCTTTTGAGTGTCGCGATTTTGATGGGCCACGTACCCTACATCTGACTGCCACCGATGACGGTCATGCCCTTTTCCTCTGGTCTGGTAGGGTGGCCCCCCTTCCATCCCAACCACTTTTGACCCCCAATTCACGTAGCTCCCAGGTACCAGGATCTAACGTTCTTGCTGGCTTGGAATCAAAGAAGTGTAGTATAGGGGAAAAACAACTTGTAGTGTTTGGTCTGCCCCGGAATCAAAGGAGTGTAGTGTATGGGAAAGAACAACTTGTATAGTGTTTTGTCTGTCCCGAACTGCGCTCCTCGCTGTCAGTGTAAGACTCCTCGCTGTAGCTGTCCTGACTCTTAGCTGCAGCTGCTGTTGTCCTGGCCCAGGCTGCGGTGCGTCTGGTAGTCAAATAGAGAACATGATTCAGGAAGGATATCGCCTTTGAGGGGGGCCTATCGCGTTTGCAGGTTTTTGCCAATTCCAGAAATCAAGACCGCTCTTTACTAAATTAGTAATCGCATATATTTTGGCAGTTGCTATTTATGCACTTGTACAGGGGGGTGCGTGTAGACGACGAGTTAACTGATATGTGGCAAAGCTCGCAGAGACTCACACCAAGCGTTGTCTCCAATGCCCCCTCCTAGTCCACTGTGCTCTGCTGAAGCAACACATATATAACATGAGTACCACGCTGGGATGCTGCCAGTCAAGCATCGTTGGTTCGACATCTCTACTTCGTGGTAAAGTGCTTGGATGTGCTTTGCTCAATGCAAACACCCAGAAAGCTGTACGATGGTCTGATGGTCTACTGTACTATGGGAATCGCCCTGGCAACCACGTTCAATGATCCAGCGTTGCCAGATTGACTGTTAGTAGCACCTACGAATCTACTTCCTGTATTTGAATCCTGCAAAACACAGTTCCAGTTTGTCCATTCCTGGCCCTTAGTTTGTTCCTGTGGTTTCTCTAGACACTCCAGTCCAATCTTGCCCAACGGGTCTGAACGCATACAAATGACAAATCAAAACGTAATTATATATATACATAACGCACGAACAACTTGATCAACAACCTTATCACTTCATGAGTGATCAGCCACACTGCCTGACAAGAGAAGGGCAATCTTATCTGGTGGGTCCACTTTTGCCAACATCGAAACAAACTAGGTACACGGCGGATAGGCCGCCGTGGTGTAAGTCAATGATGGTCGTGGGTTAATCATGTCGAAATGTGTGTAATTCCATTAGGAATGATGTGCCCAACGTTTCATCAGTGGAATCATGGTCAATTCCAAGCAGATTTGCCTGAAATGAGAGTTTCGCTGAGGCGAAATGCTGATTTCGAAGCATTTTCGAAACTACGTAACTATATAATTGGGCTGTCGGAAAAAGTTGCGACTTTTTCAGTCTTCACAAGAGCTCCTCCAAGCGGCGCAAGAACTGAGCCGGTGTGGCATAGGTCAAGCTTTGGCGCAGCAACTGAACGCAGCATCAACTTCATGCAGCAAGTGCAACCGAACGTTAACATGCCCCACCCCACCCCACCCCACCCCCCACCCCATTCCCACACGTAGCATCCACATCCCCCTCAAGCAAACATGCAAAAACGACAGCGTAGAAAACAAAAAATCAATAAAAATGCAAGAAAACATCACGGCCGTCTATCAGCCGTGGGCCAACTACTGCGCGCCTTGGTAGAATTGTGTGGCGTCTCTTCTACCCAGAGTGATTGGCACCCAAATTAGAACGGTCTTTGAGACGTGTTGTTTTCGGTGTTTTGTGATTGGCGACAGTTTGGATTGGAATGAATGGATCCGAATAGGAGAACTGGAGAAGCTGCAAGGCCCAACACTTGCTAGACAAGGCTAGATGTTCACCAAATTTCATCAACATTCTGACCCTCCAGCAGTGTGTCCTCGAATTGGACTCTTTTGCCCTTGGGTGCGCCTGGTCGGCATCGTTGACTCTGGAAAACCCGAGATGAAACTTTCTCCCTGCATCTATCTGGAGTAATCTTTCAGCTAAGACGATACAGCAAAATGCAACACTTGCAGGTTGTGCCCTCGGAATCTTGAAACACAGTACTGTGCCATGCAACATCCGTTGGGTGGTTCTTCCGAAGGAAGTCTCTTGATACATTTCATGCAATTTCTTTTTGGACTCTGTGGTGAGCCTCTCTTGAGTAGTACAGCTGCTCATTTTCCCGGCAAGTACAAGAAGAATGTTACTCACTCTGCTCACTTTCCATATACAAATTATATAACTCAATTTCAAGCCATTCAATTACTCAAGGACAACTATTTACAGCACCAACCAACGGGACAACCCGTGATGTGTGGTATGGCATACGGCAAAGCCCGAGAAACTAGCTTCCAGGTCCATGGACAGCCAGTGTTGCAAATTCGCAGGTTGGGGGCTGCTGCCCCGTCTGCATGCCAAGAACCATAACCATGAACCCATAGAAGTGGAGAGTGTTCAGTCGCACTGAGGCCTAAGGAAACCAGTGGCTACACAATGAGTCTCATTCGTGATTCCGACATCCTTCCATGCTCCTGAATTGGGCGGCCGAATCCCAATGGAAATCCCGGCCCAATCCGCACCTTCGGCGTCACCTGAGCCTTCGCCTGATGTCACTGAAACTAAATCCTTATCAAGCATTGCTTTGGACCTACTCATCTAGTATACAGTACAAGTGTCAACATTAATAGCACCTTCCAAATAGCTAGGGCAGTCACACTGGGGTTGGAAGTTGTCGATGCTTACATGTTGCAGGGCAAAATACATGTGATCAGCAAGTGAATATGTTCTGCGATTTCAGTTGATCCAGATCCCACAAAAATGCCTTTTTCATGGAAAGCCCACCGAAGATCCAACCCTCTCGATCATTTGCCTTGGTTTGCTTGGCGTCACCAGTTGCTGAACCTCAGCTCGTTTGTGAAGTTGCCCAGGAACTGCTTACAAACAATGAGGATCCCCAAGTAAGTTCTGGCAGTGAGCTTCCCCCCGAAAAAAGCTGTTGCTCGGCAAGCCATCTAGAGAATGCCAAGAACTGAGGCCCCCAACACCTTGCTTCCATTTGCCGAAGTACCTTCCACACCTGACACAGTGATACTCTATTTTTCTGGGTGTTGATTCTTAGGTCTCCATTGTTGGAGCTGGAATCAAGTTTAGAAAATTGATGCACATTATTTTCTGGGATTGAATACTACAGTATATTATATTATGCTCTGTTTCCTTGCTGCTTGCTCGGCAATTCAGGATTTGGCAACTGTGGCCACATGAGCACTTGAGGCAGAAGAAACATTGAAGATCATTGAAGCATGAGTCATCTCAGGCCATCTGCATGAGGTGTTTTGGTGAGACTGGAATCCCAGCGACTCGTGCCGCACCGGGTGCCGAACAAAAAACCGCACCTGCTGCAGCTCTCCTTGAAGCTCATGGCGGACTGCTGCCACCGTTGGACTCGAGGGGCCTGCAAATAAATCAAACAACACAAACTTCAGAATACAGTAGCCTCTCACATTCCACAACAAGTTTGTCAAAACAAGTTGTCTTCAAATCCCAGCCTTCACGTTCCAAGCTGCCCACGATATCTGTCAAGGTCTCCATGCCCTTCATGGCTTCTGTCCACTGTGGAGGTCCCTGCGAGCCACAAATGCACATGAGAAGGCATTCTGAAGTCCTAGGTATCGTCATCGTTATCGTAATTACATCTAATTACAGACCTAAGGCTTGCTAGAAGTGTTGTTGCAAGATGTTGCAAGTAGCGATATGGCGGCTCCAAGACAGGTTTGCACATCCAAGCACCATCCTGCTTGGATGTGCAAACCTGTCATGAGACAACAATGTCTTATGGATGTATGATGTATGCAAACAAGCACCAGCTGTTATCTGAAAGAAGTGGATTACACAAATGGATTCCAAAGGTCACTGAGGTCAGCAAATCAACCTTCGCGCCTCGCTACCGCCATCTCTGACTTTAGTGGTTTCCTCGGCATGCAGGAGGCGACTTATGAATAGCCACTGGGATGGGAATATGACACGCATGTTGGCCCAAAGGAATCAGCTGTTCAGCTGCGGTTCTGTCCAGAAAAAGGAAGGAATAAAAACAAGAAGGGGAGGGCCCCCTTAATGAGCTCCCCTTTAAAGGGACTTGTTAAAGACCCCCTTCCCCTCGTTTCTATTGTCCTTTTTTTCTAGCTTCACTGGGTTGAATGCAGAAAAGCTTCCAGCAGCAGCGCTGTGTCAAGGCGCTGATTCATCGCAACGGCCTGATGCATCCAGGTCAAAGTCAGAATGCTTGGATTCGAGCTGCTTCATCCTTTGCAGCGTAAGGCAGCGTATAGACCATGTATTAATATATGATAGACTCGTTTCACCAGGAGCAACTGCCTGGGATTGCGCAATTAAGTTGTGTTTATGAACACATTCGACAATGATTCCAAGATATTGTCTCAAGGTTGCACACGTCATGAAACCTTTATAACGGATGAGCTCAAGAACAAAAGCCGCTTGCAACTTACTTGATCAAACATAGTACTTATGGTACGCCGAGGACAATCTCCGAACCTTCCAGGAAATTGTTTGTTCAAAAATACTGGAAAATCTTTGGGATTTGTCTTCAACCTTGTCGCCAACATGTAACTCCTCATAGCCGGTCCCCATGACAAATACGCTATAAACAATGGCTTGCGACCATGACTTGTCGGCCTCCGACGCCAAGCTCTGAAGCTGCACTGCATGTTCACAGCTCGTTGCCTGGCAGAACGAGTCGTTAAAACCAGTTCAAAGCTAAGACGTCCTATCTAGGCCTCGTGCTGAACCATTCATCATGTAGTACTGGCCTGGCCTAGTACTTGCTTCCAGTTTTTCTTTTTAGCCCGTGGCCCTGCCTCCTTACCTGGATTAAGTACAGTAGGCGTCTACTTAAGTAAGGAGGTAAGCTACTAGCAATAGGAGGCTCCTAGCTAGGACGCAGGATAGCTCACGCTTCAAATGATTTGGTCCCTAGATTTTTCTCACAAGGGTGCATACCTGTATGGCATGTTCGCTGTGCGAGCAGCCAACATTAAGTGGAAGCTGATCTCTCGATCTACCAGGCAGGAGAACAATCACCTGTGTCACATGTCTGATTTCAAGAAAGGGGACATACTTGCTGTGAATACCGTGAATATAGGCTCTCTTTTGTTAATGATACTCGCAGAAAAATGTTGGCACTCCTGCTGGTTCTCGAAAAGATGCTCGTGCCTTTAATTCCACCAGAGCTTCCTGCAGCTCCCTTGTCTTTGTCTCGCTGAAGCACACAAAGCTCTGCATCTCCTAACATCTTCACAACATCTACAAGGTTGGGAAGAAGTTTGGGTCTGAAACTTCTTGAGATGAGCTAGATTTGAGGTGGCTACGTCGTAAAATTGATTTGTGCCAGACAAAAGGTCAGTGTGGGTTCCTACCTTTTCATAAGACCCATTGTCGGGGTCATGAAGCTTGCTAGCTGTTTCCAACACAGGGAGCTTCATGGTTTGCAATCTTTGAAGGCGAATCTTAAAATCTATACTCTATACTTTGTCCAAATAGTCAAATACTGTTGTGTTGAAAATTACCTTGTATGTATATACCTGCTTGTACAAACCTCGCTGAAACGTGTGCACAAATAAATTCAGCTTCTATCGTCAAATACAAGAATTGTCGGTACAGTTATGTACAGTTTGCCAGGATTGACTTTAATGTAGCAGGTTGATCTAGGCTGCACTTGCATGTCATGCCCAGTTTGCCGATGCCGATCAAGAATTAGGAATCCATGTTGTGTCTTTGTTCTCATCTTATATTATACATTATCATATGGATTGATTTCAAACTATTTCAATCCAGAATGATCCTCAACCAGCTGTGCATGAACTTGTCAGCATGAGGAGAGCATGGTGCCTTTTGTAGCTGCTGCAAGAGCATCTCGTCCATAGGAGCCTCGAGGAACTGACTGTGAAGAAGCGACTGAGTCTAAGCTCCTCCATAATTTTGCTGGGAAGCTACCAGTAGAGATTGCAGGTACACTCTGGCCAACTGCTCCAGGACCAGGGGCGGCAGGCAAGTATTGTGCCACTAGAAGTTCAGGAATGTGGAGCATTGCAACTCTAGAATTTGCATCTAACAGAAAGGATGCGGATGTTGTCGCATCTGAGAAACATATGAACAGTGGTTGTCAAGCCGCGACGAAAGACTTACAATTTGCTGAGATGCAACGTCAAGGTCACCCTTTGTACTGACAAATATCATTCACTCTGACTTGTGCACGATGTTGCACTGCCAGGCCTTCTTGCTATTCCGGAATGGCAGAAACCAAGCACTTGCCAAAAGCTGCAGAAGGATTTGTTCGCGCCCATTTGGCTATTTTGTAGCGTTCTCAAATCAATCTCAAATCTACTTGCCAGTACGCCAGTACTTGTCCTTCTTCTTTCTGACTAAACATGACCTAGCGCAGTGGCGACTAATGACAGGTCTTCAAAGGACTTTGCCATGTTGGGCCGTACATCATGTTTGTGTTCTTTTTGGTAGGAGCACTAAGACAAGGAGCCGTCTTCGGGTGGCCGTTCTGCAGGGCCTTCCAAAGCTGTTCAAAATAGGTGCTTGGACGGCGTGATCAAGCAAGAAAGGCTGCGTCCAAGCAATACATCGAACGCCACTGGCCGATACTAGTTTCCCAATGGCAACGAAAAAGGGCTGTGAGCAACTCATGACTGCATGGTTGGACTCAAGCTGCAACTTTGAGTAACATCTCGAAGACTTCAAGATTTACAGCAATTTGCTACATGCCAAATTACAGATCTGGGACGCATGGAGTACAGTAATACTAATCAAAAAGTATACATCTGAGCAGCTAGACTATGCTAGACTCACCCAGTCCCTATCCCTCAGGAGTGATCCCGCCTTCACGCGGTGCTTTTGCATCTCATGCACCGCGAAGCCCACCTGCTGAGCGAAGCGCTCTGCATCTGTCAGCCGCGAAGCCAAGGCGCGCACCTCTCAAGCGACGCCGGCCATGGTCACGAGCCCAGGAGCAAAGCTGTAGTGAACCAGATCTACTGAACTTTGCACAAGAAACCCTTGCAGTGAAACCTTCCCTTAACAGCAACCTGGGTCTACTCGGAGTCTACCCAGAGCCTCTGTGGCATGGGTCGTTGAGATATCCTTGAGCTGGCAGGAAGCACGACTCGCTGCTGCTTCCAGAGCTTCAGTGAACCTAATGGTGCAGGTCAAAGGCAAACATCGAAGGAAAGATATTAAAGCCCTTTAAATCCACCAACACAAATCAATCCAACTAGGCCTAGGCTGTAGGGGTGCAAGTACACTGCCAGTCTGCCAGGTTGGATTTAAAACCACGACGTGGTCTATCTGCTTACGAGATAGTAGAAAGGCTCAAGGCTCACGAAATGCATCAAAGTGTGGTGAAAGTGTGATTCGCACAAGCTTTTGGATGTGCTCGCTGATACTCTCGTGTCAGGTCTTAGACGACACTATCCCTTGTCTTGTTAAGACAAGGACACTTCCGTCCTTAAGTTCTGAAGCAAAGCTGCCGCCAAGGAGCTGTCTTCGTTGCAACTCCAGAAGGCTCCGGACCTCACTGTCCATCAAGCTCCTTTGACGCAACCTCAGAAAGATAAAAATACATCGAAGGTGGAATAAAGATGTTGAAAACATATCATCAGCATGCCCGTAGCCCGTAGCATATAATATAGCACGCATCATATCATTTCGAACTCGTCGTTTTGAAAAAGAAGAGGAAAAGACGGTGAAAGCGAGGGTGACTTCGGACTTCGTGAATTCGAGTGTAAAAGAAAGTGAAAGAACGGGTTCGTTTCGTCCGGGCTCGCTCTGACAGGTAGTGACGTCATATGGCGTCCAAGACTTAAGGCAAGCCTGAGGGCGCAGTGGAAAATCATCACAAAGAGAAGCCTTTTCATCATCGCAGTGAAAACACATCAATATCATGAAAGAAAACAACGACGAATTAAACATAAAGAACAAAAAATAAGAATCACAACTTTTAGCTCAGGGGGTAGCCAAGTAGATCATTGGTAACTTCTTAGCCAGGATGCAAGCGGCTAGGGGGGGAGCTTCCTTGAAGAAGCCTGAGCCTGAATGATTTGGTTCCTAGCCTAGATGTTTAATTTGTCAGGGGAAACTTGGCAAACAAACAAACACCGTCGTTTGTTCTTCTCTTTGCCATATCATGACAAATAATGGACCTGCGTAATTCCGTCAAGCCATGAGGCGCAGCATCCATGGCCACATCCTGCATCTCTGCCCGCAAGAGGCCACCTTACAAAATAATCAGTGGCATACCAGTAGTCCCAGCGGTTGCTTTCAATGGATTTGAGCAAGTGAAAGTGAAAGCAGCTCATCCACAAGCTTCTTGGAGAACCCTCGTCGAGAGGCAAGCCCCCAACATCCCCCCGGCCCAAGCCAAAGAAGTTCTAGCAATTACACCAAGAGCAATCAGGTGCAAATATGTATATATATATATATACATATTATTTTAATGTCGACTGCCAATTAGAAATCCTCCCCGGATTAATGTCTGCACGTTTTTTTGTTGGATTATTAATCCTGCCTGGATTAATGTCTACATCCGTGTTCTTAACTATGTTTTTTTAAATATGTGTTTAATTAATCTTATTTATGTTGTTTTATTATATATATATATATTTGTTTTAATGATAATTTATTAGTGTTGTTCTATTTTTTTGTTTTTACTGTTTATTATTTGTTGCTTATCTATTTGTGTGTTTATTTTCTTGAATTTATATATATTATATAGATATATTGTTATAATTTGTTATATTGTATTCTAAATATGTTTATTTTTGATTTTAAGCAATATTGATTTCCTTTTAGCCAATATTGATGTCCGTTTAACTAATATTGATTTACTTTTAGCTAATATGAATATGTGTGTTTCAATTATTAATCAGGAGTCTCAATTGTTGGGGGGGTATTACTAATCAGGAGTCAACATTACGAGGAACTTGAAAATAAACTATGTCTGATGAGCTAGCTGTTGCTAATTGTGAACTGGCTATTGTTCGGAAGGTGATATGGCAAGCACTTTAGTTCGTAGAGGACCGCACACTCGACTCGGATTCCTTTTGTGTATAGCTCCGGTGTGACCAGACCAACACTGGCTCGTTTCATTTGGCTAGATGTGCAGCGCGAAAGGTAGTAAGGAGACGTAAAGAGTAGCAATTACCAACGGCGGACACAGCTGTAAAGACTGGCACAGAAAAGTATGAAAATACCAGAAATGGAAAAAGCAAGGTAAGGACTCTCTTGAAAGGGGCCTGATACCTTCCTTGTTGAATCTCTTATTGCTCTTGTTTCGTCTTTCTTGACAAGTTTGTTTCATTCACAAATTCACTCTCGAAGCAGGCCTAGCTCCTCCCGAGCTCGCGCTGCTAGGGTTTGGTGTCGAGACACCTGGCAACACCCCGTACTTGTGTCCAGAATGAAGAGTGATACCCCACAACACTTGGTTGTTTGGTCTTTTTAAGACCGGGGGGGTAGGTCGCTAAGAGGTATTAGCAGCTAGGTAGTTAGTACCTTACTTAAGCTACTAGTATGGACGCAGGATAGCTCACGCTTCTTCCAGGAGGCTCCTCCGCCACCCTAAAGGCGGGGGGGAAGCTTCCTTGAAAAAGCGCTGGCACTAATGATTTGGTTCCTAGATCTTTAGGGAAACTCAACTAGTTTAGGCCCAAACATAGTGAGGCACCTCAGCAGCTAGTTGTTCCAAACGCCTCTCCAAAGGACTAAAAGGCTGCAAACACCTAAGTGCGATGCAATTCCGGTCCACTGTTTATCACCGTGTAGAAAATTTCAGTTAACATATTTTAACTTGATAGAAGCATTCCTGACACATGCCCTTCCGTTGGCGCGATGATACCAGTAGGCCAGCAAGTGTTGAACAGGTAGTGAACACATGTCTTTTTAAAGTAAATATCCACACATCTATTATCCAAGAGTTTCTTTTGTGGCAAACCGTTCATGAAGACTGGATGAGACTGGCATGTTTTGTTGTGGCATCTTGCAGCACAGCTCAACTTCCGACAAGCCAAAACAATAGTTAAAGCAATGTGTTTCAATTCCCTGGCTGCTAACCCCCGTCTGTTCTCTGCTCCTAGTTCAATAGTCCCAGGCGCTCTTGCATCTGCGCTTTGGCCTTTTCCAGCCCTTCTTTCACGATGCTCCGAACCTGGCGATCCGCGTCTTTTCAGGACTTCTGCTTTCGCAAACCTTTCTTTGCGAAGACAGCTGGGAGTGATGAAGCAAAAACAGCCGCTGTGCAGCTCTCCCTTCACAAGTCCCAGCCTGCTCCTCATTCAGGCAGTTCTGGAGATCCGAGAGATGAGCCAATTTGGTTGATGTGGTGGAGACCTCTTGTCCTTGGTCAACAATGAATGCTTGCCACTGGATGTCGCGGAGTCTTCTCTGATGTATTCGGGATCATAGAAAAACAGTATCACTATCACCAAATTGGCCAGACCCAACAACTTCACCTGTATTTTGTCACTCTCTTGCATGTTGCCAACAGTCTTTAAAGTGCTGTCAACCAAATTTTGGAGGGCCAAGTGAGAGCAAACCATTTTCTTGGATTGGAAATGATAAAGCTAGCTGTCAGCAATATAAATTAGGTGTTCTTTCAAATCAAATACAATACTGAATAGTGTAGACGACAACCTGAACATTGGTTTGCCAACCCATGACTTGCACGAACCCCGGTTGCATCATCGTCCAAAGGACGTCCAAACGTGCAATAACTGGGACCACTGCGATGGTTACAAAGAAGAGGCCGTAATAGCATATTATCCCTTCGTCTGTTTATAGCTTTATCAGGTGAAGTTGTTTAGCAAATCCCAACATTTGGGGCATCGCTTTCTTTAGCTGCAAGGTTCTGGCCCTTGATATACATTCAACTCAAACAGGTCAACCATGTGCAGTTCAATTCAGGATATCTACAGTATGTGATCTGGCAAGATACGCAAACGATCGAGCTCCACTCGAGTCGCGACCTGCAGAGTCAAAGCAGTGGTCAATTGCTGAATTTGTAAGGATTGCTCTGTATAA